GCAGTGCGTACCTGAGCAGGGCGTTTGCGGAGGCCCAAATCAGCAGGCCCAGCAGTGCTGCGGCAACGCCAAGTGCGAGAGACTTCTTGGCGGCAGCGAGATGCAGTGTGTTCAAAAACAAAGCTGCGTGGCCGTGAACGAGGCCTGTGGAGGCCCCGGGCAGAGGACCCAGCAGTGTTGTGGCAATGCCAAGTGCGAGCGACTTCTTAGCGGCAGTGAGATGAAGTGCGTGGAGCAACAAAGCTGCGCGGCCGTGAACGAAGTTTGCGGCGGCCCAGGCCAGTTGACTCAGCAGTGTTGTGGCAACGCGAATTGCCAGCAACTGCTTGGTGGCAGCCAGATGAGATGTGCAGAGCAGCAGCACTGCGTGGGCTTGAACGAAATTTGTGGAGGCCCAGGTCAGTTGACTCAGCAGTGCTGCGGCAGTGCCAAGTGCCAACAGCTTTTGGGCGGCAGCCAGATGACATGCACCGCTGATCGCTGAAGACAGCTTTGCAGGCGTGTGGTTGTACAGGTGCTATATGCAATTCAGTAATTACTGACGTGTAATTATCTTTTGTCAGCTTCGTGTCCACGGACCAAGAAGTCCTGTGCTTTGGACTCAGCCGAGGATTGTACAGGGCCCTCGGTGATCCCATGTAAAGCGAGCGAGCTCTCAGGCTTGCATGTCTGCGTCGGAGCTTGCATCGGCCGCTCGCGCGCGCGTGTGGCAAACAGAAGTCTTTCTTCGTAGAGTTTCTCACGGCTCTCGATGTAGAGCCGTGTCCGGGGCAGGTTCCCTGTTGCAGGAGCAAAAAGCCCATGAGCAGGGCGGTGCATACACTGACCTGAATCCTGAAACAGAAGAGTCGCCATAATTAATAAAGCACTTGGATCCTGAATTACAGCCCGTGCACCGCACAACAGCAGAAGAGCTCCTCTACCAAGTGCAACCCGGCCCTCTGCATGAAGAGCCAGGGCTTCCACAGCCCCACATGTGTCATGATCCATCGGTCCATCACGCCGTCTATTTGTAATTCGATAAGCAAACAGGACTTGAAAACCGAAAGTATGTACAAATGCACACATGTGCACACATGCGTGCCCTGGAACACTGTGCTGTGTCTGACGATGACGATGATGATGACAGTGATAGGTGATGGTGAGTCTCAAGGATGCTTGAAAGTGAGGATCAGATTGGGCTGGACCACTTGCTACCTTATTCTCTATCGCACGTGTGGCCCAGAAAGGCTCGGAGGCTCTTCGTGAACATGACTTTCATCTGCATGTCAATGTCGGCGTCGAAGTCGACTGAGCTCAGTTTTACTATGCAAATGCTTCTCTTCACGTTCGTAGTAAAGTATTCTCTTCGAGGGGTATACAGGCAGACAGGGGGAGCCTTGCTTCACTGCGGCCATGGTGGTGGACGTTCACGCATTGCGAACAGCCCTGGAGAACAAGCGCTTCCATGACAAGGAGTCGTCTCTCCTGAAGATGATCCAGCAGGCTGAAGCTATTCAGCTCCAGCAGCAGGATCTACTTGCTACAGCAAAAGACATCGCCGAGGTCTGACAATTACAAGTTCGAGGCAACGCCCTTCGACAGCATCGCAAACCTCGCAGAGCAGGTGGCAGTCCGATTGCGCTGCAAAGCCGCATCGCTGGTGATCACCTTGGATGGGAATCCTTTGCCAAAGGAAGCCAGCCTCAGTTCTCTTGGGATCACAGCAGGCTCGCAGCTTGACTTCAAGGAAGCGGCCCCTAAAGGCAGGAAGCGCAGAAAGGCCAAAAGCCTCCAACAATCTCAGCAGGGTACCAAGATCCAAAAGAGAGTGCAGCGGCGGGTCTCCCATGTCCTTGTGAAAACGTTGACTGGCAAGACCATCATTGTGCGTGAGATCGGCGCTTGCACTACAGTGGAGGAGCTGAAGCAGAGGACCTTTGGCCAAGAACACTACTGTTGTTCTTCAGCCACTAATTTAATTTAAGCTCGTCTCTTCAAGGGGGTGACTGTGATGCCCGGCTGGCCCATTTACCCAAGACTAGTTAGATGCTCGCCCAGGATTGAGGAGAGGGAAGGCATCCCTCCCGACCAGCAGCGGGTGGTCTTCTCAGGGAAGCAGTTGGAAGATGGCTGCACGCTCGCAGACTATGACATTCCAGAGGCCGCCGTCATGCATCTGGTCCTGCGGCTCCGTGGCGGCATGTACGATCCAATCTCTGGTCGCGAAGGCTTCAAGGTGCTCTCCGATGAGATCGTCTTCGACAACGGAAGTACATTGACCTTCGATGGGAGCTCAGAAAGCCTTGAATGCTTCGGCCAGAGCTTCGCCTCCAAGGCTGAGATGCTTTCCTTCCTGGAGGAGCACCGCATCGAGGCCCTTTTGAAGCGCTTGCAGGAGGTCCAGAGCCGATCCGAAAGAGTCGAGAAAGAGGCGCAAGAATGGATGGCCAAGGCGGTCTCGGCGGGCGACGCCTGAGGTTTGCCCTTGGACCTCGGAGAGGATGCTCTGATGCTCTTTTCGTTTTTCGGAAAGGCGCACCGCAGATGGACAGACAGTCTGCGTGCTCCCGTGTACAAAAAAATCTGCCTACAGTGGCCTACAGTGCAGGAAGAGGTGGACTGTGGCAGCTACAGCCAGCAGTCGGGACAACAGACATGTGGGGCGATGCATGTTTCAAAATCTGCAGAAGTGTTCGATGCACTCTGACCGGCCCGACAGTGGATTGAACCCTCGGCTTTCTCCTCCTTCAAACTTCTGTCCTACAGCCCACTTGGAAGGTGTGTCCCGTCAAGAAGACCGCCTGACAGAGCCAGAGCAAGAGGCGCTTGCCGGCAGTGTTATTGGATGTTCAACTCCTGCTTAGCTTGAACTCGCAAACGGACTCCCTCCGACAAGAATCTGCCGAAATACCGGAACCACGTCCCTTCAACACGTTGCCATTCTTGAAGAACGCCTGCTAGCTTGGACTATTGGCAAATTGCGGTAAGTTTGGGCTACAAGTGTTGTGAGGAAGCGATGCGGAGTTTTGCTATGTTGCGAAGGAGAGGCCCCTTCTGTCGGTGCAAATTAGAAAGGGAACGGCATGTGTCAGGGCAATAAAGACTGCAGCCTCTCTTTGCTTCGTCATTCGTGACTCAGTTGTTTGTAAACGCAGCTGGCCTACCAGGGTAGTTACGGTGAGGCAGTGTTGACGTACGACTTCACATATCAAACGCCGGCTGTGGCTGCGACTACAACCATGCAACAGACAATTTGAATCACGATATCGGGAGAGACCTTCAAATTATATTGGAGACATCCCGAAAATCAGAATGCACGATACACATCAATCCGAAATACGAGAATTTCAAAGTTCTCTTTAAGTAGGGGCTCATTATAATTAATTGATAGACTGTGAAAGAGCTCTATAAATAAAATATACAATCCTAGAATACTTATCATTTATAGAATACATAAATATATATATATAGATATATATAGATATAGAATACAATATTACGAACATATATACAAAAATCTTTTTATTTCTAGATTTTATATAGTATTAGATATGAACTATTGTATTTTTTTGGCATATTTGATTGTTAGTTTTTGTTTCAGAAGTAAATATATAAATATATTTATGTATTATTAATATTTTCAATATTAGACATAGGGTATTCTATTATTGAATTGAAAAATTGAATAAAAAACTATTAAGTGGTTAATATTAATTGTGTTCGGTTCCCTTTAAATAATAATATATATAACGGCTACAATATTAAAAGGTAGTAAAATTGGTTGTTACGAGTTATTTTATTTAATTTCTATAATATTAATGAGGGGGAGGGTTTTATATAGAGGAGGGTTAGGACTCTCCGAATTTGATTGTGTATTATCGAATTTGATTTGGATCTTATATAATAAAAATTGATCTGTCGTGTCGAGCCTGCTTTGGGTTTCGTCGTGTAGAGAATATTGGATTTCGTTAAGTACGTATTGGGATGTAGGTTGGTGGTTTTAAAGGTGCGAGTTTGGGTCTGAAAATATTGGTATTTTCGAATTTTTATATAGGGTCATATCGTCGAAAGTTACGTGTAAGTTTTTAAGTCTAGCCTAGTAGTTAGTACGTTTGGGCAGCTATAGGGCATTGGATTGATTAGCAAAGCGTACGACTTCGTTTCTGGGATTGTTTTATGGGTCGCTTTTTTGTTATTAGTAGTATTAAGGTTAGCAGCTTACGGGTCGTGTTACAGGCCGAATTTCGGAGCCACGGAAATTCTATATTTTGGGCATCATAATATCGGCTTTACTCACTTTAATTATTTATGATAAGCTTATGACCAATTTTGTTTCCCGTATTCGAATTCCGGTTTCAGACTACTTGCTCTGTAGATCCCAAAACTTGACCAATTTATATTTAGGGCACTCTATTATGAAGCTGGCTTGGTGTCCGGAATCT